CAGCGGAATAACATTGCTGTTAATCCTATTTTACAAGCTTACTCATTATTGTTACTCCTGTAATAGTCATGTCTCCGTAACCTATTCTTCTGTTATGCTTTGATCTTTTATTTAGACATGGTATTTTTCTATTCTCATACTCCTTTCCCAAAACTAAAGATTTTAAAGAATATTTTTTTTCCAAAAAGAGGTCCTACTATTTTACAAATTCTGCAACTGCCACATTTTAACTACCCCTGTCAGAAATACTATAGCCCACCACACGGCACAGTCAAGATTTCAGAAAACAGTATAGAACATGATATTGGTCCTAAGAGTGGCTAATACAAGAAGACAGATAAAATTTAATTCAGAAATTAGCCAAAGTGAGGATTATTAAAACTATTAATATCCACTGATTTTAAAACCGTGCAAGATTTGACTCTTTATATATATATTGGCTTTTTGCACTTTTTGGTTTACTTTTAGTTATTTAGAAAAAAATACCTAGCTGGGTTTGGACAATTTTTCAATAGACTTTATGCCCCATTGATGGTTATGTTTTTGATAGACCACTGATGTGTCTTTGTGGATTAGTTTGCGAACAATTTACTAACAGATGCAGTTATCCCACCGTCACATTTAGGTGTAATTATCAAAGTGTTTTGTTTTAAAAAGTGCTTTAAGTTTGTAAAACTGGAGTGATCACCTGTGGTATGTATCTACGGCTTCCTTTTGTTTCCATGGTGATGACCTACTGTCAGAACTTAGATTCAATTTGCAGAACACAACACTTTGATAAGTCTCTCACTCTCTAATTCCCTTTATAATATAAGAAAGTGGATCTGCCAGCCAACAATTAAATAGAACTAGATAATGGGGAAAATTTTGCAGGATGGAAGAATTTAAAGGGGGAGCTTAGAGGCAGGAAAACTTTTACCTCTGGCACCATTGGCAGGTGTTGAAATGCCCACGATAGCGGTCAGAGGGATTCTGTTTCTACCACATGATCTGTCTCAGAGAGCCCATCTGATTTGCACAGTTTGGTGTTTTACCACGTATGCGCGCTAGCCTCCCAATGCTTTCCCATGGGATGTGCTGATCTGAGCAAATGAAATGGAGCTTCCCCGAGGACACTGGCATTGCAAGAAAGAAAAAGTAAGTAAACGTGCCTATTTAACAGTGGCAGCAGGGATCCAATGACCTACATGGTGACTAGGGCACTATAGCACTAGGAACACATTGTCATAGTTTCCCCTTTAAATGTGGTGGCTGGCTAGCACCCGCTAACACTGCTAGCATGGAAAACGCTCAGAGGTTGTTAAATTGGGCCGGGTTTTAAAAACAGTCCGAGTGGCCCCATACGCAGCCGGATAGTTTTGTCCCTTTCAGTATGGGGTTATTTGGACTTTAGGTGAATAACCCTGTTAGTAAATAATCCTCCATATGACCAGCAGGGTAATTCACTTTGCAAAATAAATCCATATATTAAAATCTAGGTTAAAATAGTAGAGCAGTGACAAGTAATATGTTGGGGAATGTCCAGATCAGCTGGTTTAGCTTTAGAAGTTCTATAGCTTATTGACTAATCCAGAATAAGTTTTATGCGTCTCGTCTCCCACCCGATACTTTCTTTTTTTCTTCTTTCCTCCGTTTTTAAACCGACCTCCCTTGTCATGTGACCTACCCACACCCCAGACCGTAGCAATGCCACTTCCATTTTCAGATGTCAGCGCATATCCCGCGCGAGGGAGGAAGAGGAGGATGGGAGAGAGAGGGAGGAAAGAAACTTTATCCCCACAGGTTGCCTCCATATTTTTTACTTTTCTGAAACTTGGCTTTTAGATTACCATTCCTGAGCAAAATCTGAAAAATTCTTCTGACGTATAGGCAGTTACAAGGAAGGTATAACAAGATCACCTTTGGAAAAATTATTCTACAAGGGCAAAACAGCGTTCAGCTGAATCTTCGGACAGTCCATAACCTCTTTCTTATGGTACATTTTAAAAAGACACTGTAGGCATTGTGATTGCTTCATTTGATTGAAGTGGTTATAGTGTCTGGAGTCCTCGGCACGGTCTTTCCATTCAGCATTAAATTTTTTTTAGAGTCCGAAAGGAGTAGGTCTGTCCGAATTACTGGCAGGACAGTCTGGCACGAACGCAAGGCAGTAATCTCTGCATTTTCCTAGTACTCTGAACATAGCAAGAGTGCATCTAATGATGGGTGTAACGGAATCACCCGTACTCCGACCGAGTACCTTCCATTGATGGACGGTTCCTAGCTTGCGCCGAGGACCACAAGCACCGCACCAGACACTACGTGTTGAGGGTCGAACAGGAACTAAATGCACTGAGGCTTTATTGCTCTTATATATACACACATTTCTCCATAAGGTTACCACCCACGTGGGCCTTGTGGAACAACCAATCATAAACAGACACACAGTTAACCACTCCCATTCATTCCAGCGAAAAATCCTCCTCTCTGCCTGTGATATAATTACTGAACACAATGGGTTAACGTAATTATCACAGGCAGGAAAATACAGTTTTTATACAATTTTTATAACTTTAAAAATATACATCCAATCTTAATAATTTTTATAACCAGCATAACTATGGCAACAACATATCCAAAATTTGTGAGAATTGGTCCAGTGGTTCGGGAGATAGCTGGAAGTCATATTTTGACCGACCGCACGCATGCACATTTTCATGCCCAAAACTGTTCCAGAGAATCAGGCTGTGCGGCCGGTCTATTTCCCCTGTTAACTATAGTTCAAATAGGCGAACAGCAACCGCTCGAATTGTCAAACAGCGTTCGAATTGTCGAATGAGTTGAAGTCTGGAGAAGGTAAAACTTCAGCTGAATTAAAATGGCCGCCGCCACATGTTCGTTTGTCGAATGACTACTTCGGCTGTATTCAAAGTGCCATTTCAAAAGCACAGATTCTTTCCCATAAGATTTAAAGGGACAGTAAAAGTGTAAATAAAATTTAATATGCCAAAATAGTGTTTTAAAAGGGCAATACATCCAGGGGCCATAGTCACAGGGCAGGAGGCTGGCAATTAGTCCTCTCCAGGCACAAGTGGCGAAGGGCGCTTCGTCGCAATGGGCTTGCTCTATGTTCAATTGGGACAGTTCCCCCCTTAAGTGGGCCACCAAGGGACTAGTTTGAAACAGACGGGGCAGGACGGAAAATCAGTACAGTCATGCCAAAATCAGGGCAGCTAGAAGTCTGTCATGGTGCCAATTGCTGGTATGATTTGGTATGGCTAGAAAGGTGTCTATTCTCTGCCTTAGCCATTCCAGTGGGGCTGGCGCTATGTGAAGCCATAAACCCTTATTTAGTGTCAAACTGCTTAAAAAAATGGCTTAACACTGAATGGAGGGCCAGCGCCAGGGGACTCCGAGGCACTATAACCAATTTAGTGAGGTGAAATGCTACCCCGCCTACAGTGTCCCTTTATGAAAACCTGTCAAGATGTGCTGGCGATGGAGTAACCATAGCAACCACAGTGCTGGAGAGCAAGAGGACAACCTGTAGGATGGTTCCACTGCTCTCCATGTCAGTCAATTCTTTAGCATAGAGGCCTATTTCATCTCTTGAATTAATTAGCTAGTAGGGAGGCGCCTATTTTTAATTCTGCAAGCATGATGTATAGATTAAATTTAATGTTTACTAAAGTAGTACAGTATTGTCACTTTGCAGGTTTTGTTTTTAAGTGAATCCTTTTTTTTAATGCTCTATTTCACCTTGGTTTTTAATTTATTTAATTAATTCACCTTAGAGTTTTAGTAATATACAATAAAAGGCAGGGACTAATTTTCCTTGCGGGCAGCATGATTTCTGGGGATCTCTGGCAATGGGCGGGGCTTAAGCAAAGTTCCATTTCAGTTAATTTACCCACAATGCATCAGTCAAAAAAAAGAATCCCACAGAATGGCAGAGACAGCAGACATCATGGACAGAGGAGAACAAAATGGCTGCCGCTGGATACTGAGATCCAGAGCGAGGAAGAAAAGGCAAGTAGCAATAAAAGGACGGGGGCAGTATAATTATTAAAACACAAGGGAGAGGAAAAAAAGGAAAGTAAAACGGAAAGAATTAAGACAAGAATGTGCCACCTCAAATTAAATTAGTGTGTACCTCGACAGGTATGGATTATGCTTTTCTGAGGTTTCGTAACCCCTTAAGGACCAAACTTCTGGAATAAAAGGGAATCATGACATGACAGACATGTCATGTGTCCTTAAGGGGTTAAAGGGACACTAATGTTAGGAAAACATCAGTATTCATAACTTTACAGTAATGGTGCCCATAATTATGCTCCTCCCCCTCCCCTTACAATAATAAAAATGAAAAAAATAATTAAATACTAAAACAAATTACTCACCTTTTCTCCAGGGCAGAGTCTCCCTTGGCGTTGCCGCAGCCTCCTCCTCATCGAGGAACAAAGGCGCGGCAGTCGCTGCGACGCACCCATGATTCCTGCATTGAAAATCATTAAATAAAATAATTCAATATGGCCGACTGTGATGGAACTGCCAGGTGCGCGTGACTTTGCGGTACGTTACGGTATGAGAGTTGGGAAGTAAGATTACCGGCTCTCATACCCAGATGGCTTGGATGCGTGGTTTGAATCAAAGCCTCCTAATTAGTTTAATATTAGACACGTAAATACATAAACCCTTTCTCTTCTAATAAATAGTCACTAGTAGGTCTGTGACCTTACTAATACACTTCAATGACTTAACATTTCATTTATTAATAATCTAACATCACAACAAATATAAAAGAAACTTCCTCTGTTACGAAAATGTATATATCCATAAAGTCATTAAAAAAAAGAGTCCAGACCTTATTAAGAACTCGGCGTCCCGAGTCAGCAAGATGTGAAATGCTGAAAAAGTATCAAATGCTGGTCTTCTTTGATATAAAAGTGATGGCTGGTATCAATAGGAGTCAAACCTCAGTCTGGTGCCCCTGGGATCACTCCTATCTTCAACCTGGTCTAGGATAATCGCTGCAACACGTATTGCCAATTAACGATTTGCTGGAACTGAAATTAAGCCGAGGATACTATAAAAATGAACACTAAGGGACAGACCGCATCCATTGAAAAAGCTGCGAAGCGGAGGAATGCGTCTGACTCCTATTGATACCAGCCATCACTTTTATTTCAAAGAAGACCAGCATTTGATACTTTTTCAGCATTTCACATCTTGCTGACTCGGGACGCCGAGTTCTTAATAAGGTCTGGACTCTTTTTTTAATGACTTTATGGATATATAAATTTTCGTAACAGAGGAAGTTTCTTTTATATTTGTTGTGATGTTAGATTATTAATAAATGAAATGTTAAGTCATTGAAGTGTATTAGTAAGGTCACAGACCTACTAGTGACTATTTATTAGAAGATAAAGGGTTTATGTATTTACGTGTTTTATTTTGCATAGGTTGTTAGGTCTCCTATTTTTTCCCCTTCTCTTATTTTATTTTTCAAACAGCGCTCCACTATCTGCATTCCTTTTTTATAGTTTAATATTAGGTTTGAAAGGGGGGGTTTAGGACTGCAGGCACTAGCACAACTTCAATAAGATGTTGTTAAAGTGCCTCCAGTATTCCTTTAACTTTATGGCTATTTAAATCTGACTAAAAGAATTTCTAATTGTATACAGTTTTAGGGTACTCCGCATGAATATATATATAAAAATAAAAAATAAATTTTTTAAAGCTTTTTCATGTTGAAGAATGTCAATTTTGAAAATCCAGAAAATAGTGAACTATGTAGCTTTTTATGGGAAAAAACATTTTGCATTGTTAAAGACTAGAAAATGGTAACATGCAGATGTTTTATTATTCACTGTAATTTGTGGAGACGTTTTGAAAAAATCTCAAATCCTAGAATTTAAAAATGTCACAAAAACCTAATCTGAATATTAAAATGTACAGTAAGAGAATCTACACAATGATGGCTAGAGCTCTAGAGGGAGCATATAGAGCAGGGGTGCCCAAAAGGTAGATACCCTACAACTACCACAGTGCTTTGCATGCCTTTAGAATTGCAAAGCATCATGGAAGCTGTAGTTTTAAAACATCTGGGGATCTACCTTTTAGGCACCATGGACATAGAGGAAGCTGAGAAATTCACTCAGCATCAGTTTGATTTTTCTGAATTTTTGGGTGTGACGTAACTGAATAGCAGCCATCCATCGTTTTGAACATCTTCATTATCAGTTTTAGAGTAGACGAATCTGGATTGTACTGATTGGGTGAGAGCGCTGGACTAAAAGG